GGCCACTTTTTGCTCGATGTGACGTTTTCTCGCCACCTGTACGAGTGCCTCGGGTAAATCTCAAAATACGAGCCTTTTTTGCAACTAGCCAGCCTGTAGACTAAAAAATTCCCAAGAAATTTTGAAGAGTGCATCTGAAAGCATGCTTTTAAGGGCCAACTTTTTTCTTTTGCAGTCAAAGCGCTACGGTTTGAGCAGGCTAGTTTGGATTCTCCTGGCCTGGTCGGGCCATGGTGTGCGCTATTGCTCGTGCAAAGGAATAGGCAGCAAGCTGAGTCTTTGACGCGAATGCCTTTTGCGCAGGAGCCGCCTGCGAGTAAAGCTGGATGCTGTCTGCGAGCAAGGCCATGTGAGCGACATTTCGTCAGATGGCTCATCTATGGCCCTCTTTCTGCTGCCCGAGTCATGCCCCACGATCTACAGCCTGTTTGTCCCACTAATAGCTGGGAGATGGTGCTCTGCATCATAGTCGCCTATAGCGCTGTTCCATCTTCCACTGTGACTAGAGAAAAGGGAGCGAATTCCGTAGTCTGTGCATATTCATCGACAATTTGCCTGTCCGTGCCGCTGCCTCTGTTGCCTGCAATGGCACCCGCTGCTTGTCAGCCGAGAAGCAACAGACGCCGAACACCGACATTTTGCTATAGTACCAGTAGGAGGGATTACCTACAAGTTCACATGAGCTGTGCGCCTCTCGATGATCTCTTTTGGTGTCAGACACGCAGCCTGTGTCCGCTGCCTGCCTGGATGCAGCAGGTCAGTGTACTGCTGCTTTTTGAACGAGTATCAAGTGTGTCGGTAAGAAAGATCGTATAAAGGGTGCTGCTGCTGGAATCCCTCTTTCGCTAGGGCTTCACTACCGCTATTCCGTCTCCCCAGATACCTCTACCTAATATTATCCTCACAGTATACCAGTCTGCTATAGGCCACGATATAGTCAATCTCGCTAATGTCAAAAACCAACGACTCTGTCGCCATCGAGGAGGGCGAGATCGTCGTTCCTCAATACGGCCCTGAGCGCGATGCCATTACCAGGCGTCTCCTGCGCAAGCTCGACATCCGCTTGTTCCGTACATGGCACTCCTGTACATGTTCAACGCCCTGGATCGCGGCAACATCGGTAACGCGCGCCTCGGTGGCCTCGAGGAGGGCACGCACCTCACCGGCAACGACTTTTACAACGCGCTCTCCTTCTTCTACTTTGGCTACTGCATCTCGCAGGTACCCAACATGTTTTTGCTCAAGAAAGTCAGCCCGTCGGTGCTGATCGGCGTGACCATGGTGCTGGGGGCGTCTGCTCGACGTCTATGGCCGCATGCAAAAGCTATTCTGGTTTAGTTGCTGCGCGCTTCTTCATGGGCATATTCGAAGCCGGCATTGGGCCTGGAGCACCTATCATTCTGTCGTTCTTTTACCTGCGCAACGAACTCGCATGGCGCACGGCCATGTTCTACGGCAGCTCAACTATTGCTGGCGCCTTTGGCGGAGCGATTGCCTACGGCGTGGCCAAGAACCTGGCGCACGAGAAGCTAGCACCCTGGCAGTTGCTGTTCATTATTGAGGGTATCCGACGATTGCGCTGGGCTGGTCACTATCTTCTTCTTGCCCAACTCTCCCCACAAGCTCGAGAAGTGGTTCGTGACGCCCGAGGAGAAGCAGGTGGCCATTGAGCGTGGACGCTCGGGCTCAACACCGACAACACTGTCTTGGACAAGCGCCAGCTGATTGCTGCCTTCAAGGACTACAAGAACCTCTTCACATGTCTGATCTATATCGGCCTGAACATCCCGCTAGCCTCGTACACGTCGTTCTTGCCCACGATTGTCAAGAACATGGGGTACTCGGATGCCAAGGCCCAGCTGATGACTGTTCCGCCATATGCGTGCGCGCTGGTTACTGTGCTGCTGTTTGCATGGAACTCCGACCGTACTCAGCGCCGTGGCTACCATGTTGCTGGCGCTGCTTCGATCACCTGCCTTGGCTATATCCTGCTGATCTCGTCGGGCAACTGCACGCCAACTACGCCGGTGCCTGCTTTGTTGCCATGGGTCTGTACCCGATCGTGCCGCTGATGCTGTCATGGGTAGCCAACAACAATGTTGGACACACGAAGCGCGCTATTAGTGTTGCCTTGCTTAACACGTTTGGCCAGTGCTTCGCAACCGTAGGCACGCAGATTTACAAGACCAAAACAGCACCGCGCTTCTTCATGGGCTACGGGTGTGCCTGGCGTTCAGCTTCCTGATGATCGTCGTGGCGCTGTCTCTGTCGCATGTTCTTCGGCGCGAGAACGCTCGCAGAGACGCCGAGTTTGGCGAGCCCAAACCGCTGTCCCCAGAGGAGCAGGCCGAGGCCGTTCAGAATGGAATCTACGACGACCACCCGAGCTTCCGGTTCTACATCTAATATGAATTCCAATAGTGCGACACTAGTAAAGAGCCTCCTGTTCAGCTTAACCCGGTTGCCCCGCGGTTACCCATTCCCTTTGGGTTGTTGTCCTTGAAATCGTCCCACTCGCGCTGCTTCATAGTCTCGGCGTCTTGGGCATCGTAGTCGTTGTCATCAATTTCTGGCTTTGCGTCTGGCTCCTTGCCACCACCGCTGATGATATTGCCGCGCTCCTGCTCTTGCTGCAGGTACTGGTCAACTGTCATAGTCGGCAGAGCCCACCCTGGCCTGAACACGCTGTCCTTGATATGCTGGCGGTTGTTGGTAAGCACAAACGGCTGCATGGGCTGCCCCTTGTCATTGAACACTGGGCGGCCGGGCTGGCCAGTGGCGGGGTTAACACGATACGACTGCGGGTCGAGCCGCCACTCCTTGCTGCGCTCTTCTTCGTTCTGTCGCCGGTCGGGGTCAGTGCGACGCTGCTCCATCTGCTTAGCCATGTCCAGCTCGCTCTCGAGCATGCTCAGGTCATCAAGCACCTGCTGTATCCTGAGGCGGACCAGCTTGACCGCGTACTCGCGCTCGACTTCATCCATATCCTCGGCATCGTCCTTGGAGCTGTTTTCAGAGAGGCGCAATTCTAGTGTAGCGATTTCCTGCTTCATAGCGCGGATAGTCTGAATCGCTCGATCTTTTGCATGCGACTGGTGCCCGGGTCTGCTGCCATGGGCTTGTGCGCCTTGACAAGCTCGAGAATTTTACGCTCAGCCGGCTGCAGAATGCCGAGGTTTTGGCACAGCGACAGGAATTGGTCGTAGTGCGCGCGCGACTTTTCCAGGATGCTAAGCCGGGTGACTTGTGCGCTGCTGTTCAGTTTCTGCAACGCCTCACCCATATACGCATCGGTCAGAATCAGCTTGAGTTCGCCGGTGGAGTAGTCGTCAGGCGTTTCGTTGCTGCTGAATAGATCGAGGTCCTTTATCTGATGAAGGCACACCGTTAACAGGTCCACAAGACTCTGGGCCTGCTTCTGGTACTCGGACCCGCTGCTGGGCAACGGCGAGTCGTTGAGCAGCTCCAGCTGCTTCTGTGCGCGGCGAAGGTTGCACCAAGTGGGCGCTGCTGGCTGGCGTTGTCCTCGTTGTCCATAGTATAAAACTGAAAATTGCAAGGATAGAGGGTGTGTGTGTGTGTGGCGCGTATTGCTCAATCGCCCCTTGGGCCCTTTCATGTATACATAAGAGGCCGAGCGTTTCCTAGTATGGAAACATCATCAATTCAGCCAGTTTCTCCCCATCGTTTTCCCCTTTCCATTTGTTTCCAGGTTTCCAGGTATTTACGTGTTGATTCCATGAACGCTTTATTCAGTACAACATTGGCAGTTGCAACTGTGGTTGCTCTGGCATCGGGGCTAGAATGGAGAAACATGAACACACTGAGGTGTGCAAAGTTCAACTGGCATACGATAAAGGACCCGCTCCGACTCGCTTCTGCCCATGGCAAAGCTCTTTTTTGCCGGGCGAAAATGCAGCGCTTTTGAGCAAATTGCTTGACGGAAAAGAGCAAGCTTCCTGACACACCCAGTGACTCGTTCATCAAGGCACTGCCGGATGCAATTCCCGAGACGCTGCTGAACACGATTGCCGGAGATGTGATCGGCGCGTGCCTGTCCGGCGAGATGCGGGTTCAGCAGGAGCCATGAGATAGGAAGAAGAATACGAACCGTGCTTTTGGTTTGTAGCTGAAAGACACCCCCGCATATTCAGCCTATGTGCGGGGGTGACACATGCTCGAGCATTTGTGACAACAGGACAGGATGGAAGCTGCAATAAATTAATAAACACGGTGGTCCAGAGAGAGAATGTGGAAAGGGTTAAGAAAGGATGCTAGATGGCAGCAAACCTCCTCCGTGGCGGCGAACATGCCGCTGACCTTGCGGTACAGCCTAGTGACAGAATGTCTGCGGCCATGGAGGGTGCGCTTGTTCGACTCGAAGGGGCCGGTGCTGTCTAGTAGTCCAGCTCTGTCGCCAGGAATATACTGGAACGGAGCACCAATCTGCTGCTCGTTCATCTCATTCACACCGTTGTCAGAGATCGACTCCCTTGTGTTCTGGCGGCGAAGATATGTGGGCACCAGATAGTGGAAGTCATCGGTTGAGTAGTTCACCTGCTGTGTGTATTCCTCGGGGCTATACTCGAAAATGTCGCCGAGGTTATTGATCTTCTCGTACTTCATGGCTATGCGTGTGCTGGAAAGAGACAGAGTAAGTGGATTTAGAGAAAAGGAGGCTTTCGGATGAATGTAGAGCGTTTCCTGGTGGGAACGGGAGACGACTGCAATATTTATACCTGGAAACCGTTCACTGCACGACGAAATGGCACTGTGAAAAAGGTAGGCATGGTGCAGTTTGTCCCCCATGTGTCCCTATTGCAAGAATAGAGGATAGTTGGCTGGGAGTACCAATTCATTTGGAGGATCTTCCAAAATCCTGGTCATGCTCACTGACAATGGCGGTATCCCAACCCCGGGACTCTGACTTTTTACCTTGGTTGGCACGGCCAAGACAGCCGGCATGGATATTTTTCTGCCTAAAGGTCCTTTGGCGCGGAAAGAGCTTTTTGCACTAATTTTAGAGCCAAGTCTGGGCGCCAAAATGAAAGCCTGTACACGTTCCGATTTAGATGTGTTCACAAAGAGACAGAAATAGCAGAGCGGCTACGTGGGGGATGGTGCCTAGGAAAAGTAGCTGCCCTATTGTCGTTAACCGCGATTGTGTGCCATCTTTTACCATCGTTCTGAGCACTGGCAGTCAAACGTGTCCGTTTTGCACTTTTGCTGTTGGGCTGTGTTTCAGAGCAGTAGGCGGCTGGGGACGCAGAGCATGCCTTCATAATGGAAGACCGCGTGAAAAAGCGCATGTATTGACAGTTGCCATTGGAATCATGTGTGCTTCGTCTACACAGACTCTGTGGTCAGCGCAGGTCCAGCATGCTGCTGTGTAAATCCAGCCTGGAGCAGAAATGATGCCCTTTTGTTCGGTTGAAGCGCAACAGGAAATGTGGCAGATCTAGAGTGATTATCTGTCAGCCTCCAGCGAAGCAGCTTGCTGGGCGGTGAGCTTTGGCGCAAGGGCGGAGGGCGTCATGTGGCGAGGAGACATGTATGACAGATGCGGCTGGCTGCATCAACAGGGTGCTTTTCTGGGCAAATGGGCGTGGAAATGCCACCGGCTTGGATCACGTTAGCCCCTTTGCTTACCCGGGTCAGCCCCTCCCCTCCGTCCCTCCAGTGCAAACATAGGGCAATGTCCCACCTGTTGCCATCAAGCGGATATGCCGAAAACACGATGATCATGCCCCCCGCACCTCCTTATTCCGGCCACACATGGCGGTATGACGCGGCCGCTCCTGAGCCCAAACAAGCAGGAGGGAGCGTGTGAAAGTGCTTCTCCGCTGCAGCTGCCCAGAAAACTACCACTGGAACCGAAAAGCTGTGCCAAAATGGAAGCCCCACTAGATGATCTCCTTGTAATTCCCGCGCCCAAGGGTAAATGGAAGCGCCTTGCACACCCCTTCGGAGCTGGCTTCTGCCAGGCAAATCAGGTATATAAGTCATCCTGGAGCCGGCACGATGGGATTGAAAGCCCACTTTGTTTCACATTCTTATTGGCATCTAATTCCTTGTTATCACTTAACTCTTGCTCACAGGTAGGCTGTTCTAGGTCCACTCCCCACACCCCGTTATGCGCAGGCTTTCAGGCCAAGGGGCTAGCTTCAGTGATCCAAGAAAATTTCTAAAACCAGCACACAGCAAATGACGTTTATTTTCTTTTTCAGTGGGCCGTGGTCAATCGATTGTTGGGTCTGAGGGCGCCCGAGAAAACTCTTGTCCCAGGTCCGACCGCAAACCACGCCCCTTCTCTGCTCTGCTTTACTCACTGCACCATTTTTAGACTATCTCTATTATCACCCACCCACACATAGCCGATATCTACCATATCTCCGCTACTTGTAGTTACTAGTCCTATTCGCTGATAATGAAGAAGTGTCAGGGAATTCCGTGGGTAAGTGCTAACTGCAATAGCTGGTCGACTGCTTCGGCGAACAGAACAGTAAGGTCCGTGGGCCCTAATAACTCCTGCTTCTGTAGAACCACCCATGGAAGCGTGATGATTTCGATCAGTGCTTTCGCAGTCTGTTTATTGAGAAGCTTCTGCCAGCCAGCATAGTGGTGCTGTCGGTGCTGGTCCTGGTGATCCGTCTTGTGAGCAATCGCCGAGCACAGCGCTACGGCCAGGGTGGCGTATCCGAAGGATACCTGCCACTATTGGACGGCACCAGGCGTGGAAGTGCTGCCTCACGATCCAGAAACAGGTATGGCGCCACTGCTGATAGCGGCGCCGCGGCCGCAGCCTCAAATCCGATGGGTGCCTTCGATGACGAGGAGCTGCTGAGTGACAGCGACGATGAAGCGCATGCCCGCGTGCAGGCTGCCGACGAGGCGCCTCAGCAGCACGGCCGGAACCCGTCGCGACGCGATGTGGTGATTACGTTCTTGGCCATCATCCAAATTGTGCTTGCGTACACGGTATATGACGACGAGCCAGCGGGCCACACCACCTTGGCCGAGGTCATGCTGTGGTCGTGGTCGATCATGCTGTGCGTGTACATGTACTTCCGCTCCAGCACACGCACGCCCTCGCCCTCGCCGCACCTGCGGCTGCTGTTTACGGTTGGGTTCTTTATTGACTTTGTCAAGACACGGTCGGCCATTCTGGACTATGTCGAGCGCAAGCACACAAAGCACCCCGTGCGGTTCCCGGCGGTCGAGATGGTGATGGCGGCAATCTCGCTTGTTCTGTTCCTGGCCAGCTTCACAGCACAGCGTCGGCGCCACGGCCTGCCGGCCAATGCGCCCGTCGGTGCATCACAGAAGCATCCGGAGGCGCCCGAGAAGACTGCGTCGATTATGCAGCTGATGTTTTTCTCGTGGATGGACCCGATGATCTGGCTTGGGTACAACCGGCCCCTGGAGCCCAATGATGTGTATGATCTGATGCCCGAGGACCGGTCGATGCGCGTGTGTGCCGAATGGTACAGGGATTCGCGCGACTACGTCCGCAAGCACGGGTCTGATGACCGCTCATTGACGGTGCGCTTGCTGTGGTTCTTCCGGTACCGCCTGCTGACCCAGAGTCTGTGGACGCTGGTCTGCACTGTGTTCCTCTTCACTGGTCCTTTCCTGCTCAAGCGTATTCTGCGGTACATCGAGGACCCGTCTATCTACACGCGTGAGCAGGCGTACTGGTGTGTCAGCGGATTGATGGCTGGTGGCACTGTTGCAACTGTGTGCCAGAGCCAGGCGCTGTGGATTGGCCGCAAAATCGGAATTCAGATGAAGTCGATCATCATCGGCGAGGTCTATGCCAAGAGCCTGCGCCGTCGCGACGCAGCCACATCGGCAGAGAAGGCAGGCAGCGAGCAAGACTCGGGTGCTACTGACAAGAAGGGGCCGAGCCAGGACGACGGCAGCGATGATGAGGACGGTGCGTCGTCGCTGGGAAAGATCACCAACCTGATGGCGGTAGATGCGCACAAGGTCTCCGAGGTCGCATCGTACATGCACTTCCTGTACCAGCTGCCCGCACAGATCATTATCACGGTGGTGATGCTGTACCAGCTGCTGGGGATGGCATCGATTGCAGGCTTGGGCGCGATTTTGGTCCTGGCACCGATCCAGTACAGACTTGTGTCTGTGTGGGGCGTGATCCAGAACCAGCTCATGAAGGTCAGCGACCGTCGTATGAGCTTGATGAACGAGATACTGCAGGGTGTGCGCATCATCAAGTTCTTTGCCTGGGAGCGCCAGTTCGAGTCGGAGATCGCCAGTGTGCGTGCCAACGAGCTGCGCGTCCTGCGTTCGCGCTACTTGCAGCTGACATACTCGATTCTGGTGTTCTTTATGGCGCCCGTGTTTGTCACTCTGGCCACATTCGGTGTCTACACTAAGGTCATGGGCTACCAGCTGACGGCGTCGACGGCGTTCACTGCGCTGGCGCTGTTCAAGACGCTGCGGGGGCCAATCGACCAGCTGCCCGACTTCTTCTCGTTCTGCCTGCAGGCCAAAGTGTCACTGGACCGCGTTGCCAAGTTTATGTCCGAAGAGGAAACTCCCAATATCTGCTTCAGACCGAATCCCGCAAGCACCATGACGAATACACGGCTGCTGGTCTTCCCCATGGCAAGCGGCCGAGCTATGCTGATATTGCTGGGTCGACCGACATTGGGTTCATTGGCGCGTCGTTCAGCTGGAGGTCCGTGCCGCGCGAGGATATGCTGCCCAGGCTGGCCCACCCGAATGCGCCAGGAACCCAGCTGCCTATCCCGGCCATCGTTGAACCGGAGAATCGCGTTGCGGGCGATCTCCACGCCTCTGAGAGCAGCCAGATTCTGACGGCCGTGCATTCGACCGCCGACACGTCTTCCGAATCCGACTCGGCTGGATTTGAGCTGCGCGATATCACTGTCAACTTCCCAGTAGGCAAGCTCAGCATTATTGCCGGGCCGACTGGCTGCGGAAAGACATCGCTTCTGATGGCGCTGCTTGGCGAGATGCGTCTTACTGGCGGCAAGCTCCTGGTTCCTGGCTCCGTCTACCGCCCGGTGCTTGCGCCCAGCGACGATCCGTTTGCAATCCAGGAGTCGGTCGCATATGTCGCCCAACAAGCGTGGCTTCTGAACGATACCATCCGCGGCAACATCACATTTGGTCTACCGTTCGACGAGGCCCGCTACAACCATGTGGTGCGCATGTGTGCGCTGGCCCGCGACTTTGAGATCTTTTGACGCAGGCGACATGACCGAGGTTGGCGAGCGCGGTGTTGCGCTGTCTGGCGGACAGAAGCAGCGTATCAGCCTGGCGCGTGCTGTGTACTCGCCAGCGCGGCATGTTGTCATGGATGACTGTCTCTCCGCAGTCGATGCCCATACGGCCAAGCACATCTACGAGCACTGCCTGATGGCGCCGGCCATGATGGACCGCACCCGTATTCTGGTGACCCATGCCGTTGGTCTGACAATCAAGGGCGCATCGATGGTTGTCGTCATGCAGGATGGTCGTGTGGCGGCTGCAGGTTCACCGGTCGAGGTCCTGCGCAGTGGCAAGCTGAGCGAGGAGACACTGCGTGAAGCTGATGAGGAGCAGCAGAACGCAGCGTCGAAGCGCGAGAATGCAGCGGGCAAGGAGCCCGAGGGCGGTAACGACAAGCGGTTTGACGGAGATGAGGGTACTAGCAAGGGGAGCAAGTCCAAGGACAGCGATGGAGACAAGGACAAGGACAAGGGCAAGCTGACTACCGAGGAGGGCTGGTCCCAGGGCCATGTCCAGTGGCGAGTCTACACCCAGTATCTGAAGGCTAGTGGCGGATATGTGTTCTGGATCATCCTGACTCTAGGATTCATCATAACGCAGCTGACACAGGTCGCCCAGGACTACTGGCTGCGCGAGTGGGCTGCTGCATACAGTGCCCCTGCGGCTAATGCTGACACGCTGGCTGAGAATGTCGTAGCATCCAGCGGACCGACGGCCTTCTTGCTGGCGCCTGTGCAGAACATGGTAGCCAACTATGCACCTAATGTCGACTTGGGCTACTACATCGGTGTGTATGTTCTGATTGCCGTATCCAGCATCTTCTGCATTCTGCTCCGCT